AACGAAAGACAAATATGATAGATTTTATATACTTTAGGAACATTCTTAACCCTCTTATTTTATTAATGATGTAAAAGTTAGTTTACGCGGTCTATGAATATTTATATGACTAATTGAATCATTTTATTATAAGTTACATACCTTCCCTGTGTAATTAAAAAATTATATAAATTCATATAAAAGAACAATCCTACAATAAGTGAAGTTATCACCTCATGAATAAAATGTACTCAAGTACTGAAGTTCAAGTTCCCTTTACACTTCTTATTTATTTGGTCAGGGAAATATTGAATGATAGAAATCTGAATAATAGTTAAGTTAGTATGTACATAAAAAAAGTTAAAATTTATATTACAGCTAAAAATTAGCAAGGCGAAGAGAGAGAAGTATAAGGGGTCCAACTGAATCCCTGCCTTTTTTGTTAAAGAGAATTGGCCGCAGAGAGAGCGCATATCTCTCGTAAGAGAAGGAGAGCCACTTTTTTTTAGAGTAATTAATTCCTGCCTTTCGCTTTTTGGGGTGGAAGCAGTGGCGGAGGGAGGATTTTCATCAAGGGGGTTCAAAAAAAAATTAATCACGTAAATAATATTCACAAATAAACGGATCGAATCAAGAAGAAAATGATTTTTTAATATTTGACTCTGCAGTTAGGAGTTAAACTAATAAATCCTAAATTCCCAATCAGCGTTTTAATTTTTTGGAACTAAACATCATTTTCTGATTGCATTATTATTTTTTAAAAAAAATTAAAACTCTTAAAATATAAGCTGATAAAAAAATGCCTTTGCCCAGATTCGAACACGCGACCTTGCGTGCAATAGAGCAAATTCCTGAACCCCCAAAGCCACTGAGCTACGCCTTTGGTGTATGTTTAGAGGGTTCAATAGTATATATATACACGTAAATTAATATTTTAATCTTTATATATGTAGTGTAATTTTTCGACGAAGGGGGTTCGGATAGAATCACTACACTATCATGGCCAACTATACCAACTCCTTAATTTAAGGATATATTTAATGCTATTTATGAAATTCAATAATAAAAATTTGCTCGGCCTAACCGAACCGTACCCAAGTTTTTCTCGAATATTATGTAATGGAAATAGAGAATAAATAAAAAAAAAATCATATATATATAAGTTATTGAATTTCCATGACATAATGTCATTAGGTGGGTGAGAAGCATTGGAATAATGTCACTTATTCAATTTATTTTCCCTAATATCATTACAGAAGTCATTTTTCTCATTTTCAAGAAACTTAATTTTCTAGAAAAATATTTTAGAAAATATTTTAAAAATTGAAAATTGCATCCGAAACACATTCTTAATTATGGCAGAAAATTTAACGGTCGTTACCATCTTTGCATGTTCTTCCTTTGAATGCTTCTTTCGCTTTTATTTTATGTAATCATATTTTTTATTGGATACATTGTTTAAAATATTAATTTAACTTGTTTATTTTATGGTTTGTATAAATGAATATTACATTGATGAAATTGAAAAATCAAAATAAGGATAGTACTATGTGATAGGAGTATTAAATTAGGATGAGAATTATATTTATTTCTTAGAAATAAAAAAATGAAAAAGGTGTTACCTTTGTGCTTTGACATTTTCATGACTTTTATTAGGTATTAATAATTATTTCCTGCTACCAAACATCACAAGAGGCACATAAAATAAGCTAGTGGTTGAAAATGACTTGTTTACCAAATCTAAGGCTTTTTATCTCTTAGATATAGCAAGGAATCCTAATAAAGATTATCAATAACAAGATAGAGAAATATACTTCTTTTCCTGAATATTTTACTCTCATTTTATTTTATTTTATGTGTTTTAATTTGATTAAAAGAACTTCTTTCTTAAATGAAATTAGAAAGAATGTTCCCAACCTTTTTTAAAAATCGAATTGAAGGCTGCAAGCACTTTTTAAAATCAATAAGTTCAAAAATATAAAGAGATTTTTTAAGGATCTTACTATTTGATACTAAAGGTGTTCAAAACTATCTTTCAATTGTGATTTATTAAATATGTCATGATGCTATTCCTTATAAGCTATCACTAAAAATAAAATGAAAAAAATTTAAAAGTGACACTAGTTTCATAAACATATTGAAATGAAATTAAAGCAAAAAAAAAAAAAAACAAAGTGAAACAAAGTCAACCTCACACATCAAGAATGTGGTGCAACCAATATGTTGTTCCTCTCTAAATTATAAATTTTAGTTTTAGAGCTTTGAATATAAAAATAATAATAGAGAGAACATCTTCTAAATAAAATTTATACGATGCAAATTTAAATTAATCAAGCTTCAATATAAATATCAGAGATGGAATAATAAAAAAAAAAGTCAAACCTCAATGGCGGCTTCATTTGTGCACCTTGGCCAACCCCTCTAATCCTATTTTATTTTATGTATAATAATAACTCCCTCTCTTGCAAGATGGTACTATAAATACATTTAATTATAGCATTTATTATAAAGTACAAAGTTATATCTCTACTCAACTAAAAAGGTGTATATAGCTAGCGTCCGGCATGCTTTTATTTCAACTCTAATGGCTTTTGATTTTCAATCACAACAAGAAATCATGTACGTATAGATTATTATCTAAATTTTCATGTTTTTCCCATTTGGCTAAGTAGATTTTATAGTAGTTGATTTTTTTTTCCTATTTCCTTTTCATTAATTTGCAGAAATATTAGGTGCTACAAAGTTAAAATTTTGAATATTTGAGCAATGGGTTGGAATTGCTTTGGAGTTTTGCAATCATACAAAAACAATAGAGAGACTCAAATCCAAGGTAAGTACACTCATAACTCTTATTTCTGTTTTCTCAATTACATGCTTAAAACAAATCGTTCTTATAAAATTTAGAACCCAGAAAATTTAAAGATTTGACGCTTCTGCTCTACTTTTTGTAGTCCATCCAAATTTGAGAAGTACTTCACATAATTTTCATTTTCTTTTTGTGTTTTTCATTGTGTAGAGTTCACGACCAACAATGTGAGGGTTTTTTCCTATAACTCATTGAGATCAGCAACAGGTCACTTCCATCCATCTAACAAAATAGGAGGTGGTGGTTTTGGAGTTGTGTATAAGGTAATCATCTCGTTTATGGTGTCATGCCTTTTAATGGTCCTTGTGGATGCTAGTTATTAAGTAGTGAGTTTTAACTTATATACGTTCAAAGTTTAAAAGAATCTTTTCACAGTCAAGTCACTTAAAAGATAAATATAATAATTTATCCATTCGAAATGGGATTAGCTAGTAAGTAGATGCATTTAAGGGTGTAGCCTAATGATTAATAAAGTGGGATGAGACCAATGAGATTTTTAGGTTCAAATCTCAACGGAGGCCCAAAAAGGGTGTAGCCTAGATAGACACCTTCCAATGTAACTAAGCTTTGGTGGGTAGAGTACCGATGGAATAGTCGAGTTACATGTAATCTCATACGAACACCACCATCATAAAAAAAGAAAGTAAAATAAGATAGATTACCTGCTACATTAATAATATATATATGTTAAATCTTTTATGTATTTCCACTCTCTGTACTTGTGCAACTTTGTTCTTTAAATGTAGGGAGTTTTGAGAGATGGAACTTGTGTTGCCATTAAATGTCTCTCTGCTGAATCAAAACAAGGGACTAAAGAATTCTTAACAGAGATTAATATGATTTCAAATACCCAACATCCAAATCTTGTTCAGCTGATTGGTTGTTGTGTTGAGAGTGGCAATAGAATGTTGATATATGAATACTTGAAGAATAACAGCCTTGCCAGTGCTTTACTAGGTAATGTTCTCACAGATCAGTTTTAAAAAAAAACTTATTTTGAACCAAATGAACATGACATAGTTGAAGTTAGGAATGTTAAATGAGCGGATTGGACTGAATCTGGACGAGTTAAAATTGTTATTTCAGGTTCTAATGGTAAACGCGTTGCCCTGAATTGGCCTCAGAGAGTTGCTATATGTTTAGGTACAGCATCTGGTTTAGCATTTCTTCATGAAGAAGCCTCACCACCGATTGTTCATCGAGATATTAAGGCTAGTAATATCCTTATAGATGAAAACCTTCATCCTAAAATTGGAGATTTTGGTCTGGCTAAGCTTTTTCCTGAAAATGTCACTCATCTAAGTACGCGAGTAGCAGGAACAATGTGAGTAGTTACATTGAATTTCAGTTTCATAACATTCGATATTCCTCTCCTGTCTCGTCTCAGTATGGTATTCTGATGTGCAGAGGTTATCTTGCTCCGGAGTATGCCTTGTTTGGACAACTCACAAAAAAGGCTGATGTTTATAGTTTTGGAGTTCTTGTACTTGAAATCATAAGTGGAAGAAGCAGTAGTAAATCAGCATTTGGAGTGGAGCTCTTGGTTCTGGTGGAATGGGTAGGATTATACTTTCAGCTTTATGATCTTCAAGATTCATCAGTAATCAGCATTTTGAAAGTTTACGCGTTGCAGGTATGGAAGCTAAGAGAAGAAGGACAGCTTCTGGAAATCATTGATCCAGAGCTAACAGAGTATCCAGAAACTGAATTACTGCGGTTCATCAAAGTTGCTCTCTTTTGCACACAAGCAGCACCTACCCAAAGACCTAATATGAAACAAGTGATTGAGATGTTGTCTAAGGAAGTCAACCTCAACGAGAAGTCGTTAACTGAACCAGGAGTTTATAGACCACATAGCTCGAAACGATCAAGTTATGGTAGTCTGCAGAAATCATCCTCCGCGGGGAAGAATGGGGTGCAATCTGTAAATCCTTTTGTAACATCAACAAAGTTTGAGAGCTTTCAGAGTGTCACCCAAATGCTTCCTAGATAATGTTAACTGGTGTTCTTATTCTTCATACTTGTATAATGTCGTTATTCTAACGTGGGCTATCGAGGAGTAAATGTATTGTCTCTCATTAGACCTAGCTTTTTTCATACATTTTCTCATGTAATGTAAAGTTGGCAGTAGCTGATAAGGGAGAAAGAGAGACAATCACACAGAATGAGCTACTATGTAACTCCAAATTTCAGATATGAAGATGAAGTTTACAGCAGAGACTATGAACACAGTAAAGGATAGAAACTAGGAGAAACTTTTCTCTATGCACATATTAGCTCCTAAAACTAGAAATGAAGGTAAAAACTTCCTGATAGGAGTTATTCTCAAACTCATAAACATATAAAGGACGACTGCTTTACAAGATCAACACAGTAGCATTTTCATTGTGCAGCAGAGAATAAACCTTCAAGGTGCAGCAGTAGTAGCTTGAGGCTTTGCAGAGGAAGCAACAGAAGTTTCTATTCCTGTCGTTGCATCTTTTCCTGGTTCCGAAGATGGTTTTGCAGAAGGCTTCATATGGTCAGGGGGGTTGTGTTTGAGTTTCACAAGTATTTGACGCATTCTAGAGAGTTCAGTTGGCCTGCCAGGTTTGGGTCCTTGGATGACATTGATGAATGGCTGCTTCTCCTTATCCTTCTTTCCTTTCTTTTCTATGGTCGGGACCTCCTTTGGGATAAGCTCTCCAATTGTCCTCCAATAAGCATTATTAGCTTCAGTATGGAACTTCTCTTGGTTGGCCAAGAATAACTGGAAAAAAGAAAAAGATGACACATGAACTGCAACACATTGATTGACTAAGGAGGAACTTGCCGTACTGTGGAACTATGTTTAGAGATTTGACAAACCATAAAACCAAAGACATAGTTCTGTGCAGATTAGCTAATAAAACTCACCAAAGCACAAATACTCAGCATAGATTGTACTAAAGGTTATCAGCACATTTTGATCTCTTGTGGAAACCTTCCACTTTCAATTTTTTTAATTTACACCTCTTACTTAGTGTTAACTCTAAATCATATGAAATGTAAACAGATAAATGTAGAAACTGGTTTTCTCTGTGTGCCTGCCTTGGTTGAGTCGAAAGTACCAATACAATGACTTTTAAAAAACAAAAGTAACTTAAAAAAGAGAGTAAAAAGTACCATGATTAAAAATTGGATAGTACTTTTACCAAGTTAACTAGGTTAATCTCCCTCTCTCAACACTCATATCCTATACCGAAGATTTGAAAGCAACGATTAGGAAGAGAAGGTAACTAGATGCACGACACATCAGACCAGTGATAATTTTCCTTCCAGCTAAAGCAACTGTTTGGAAAACAAACACCCAGCACAAGCAAATTTATGCCAAACTAGTTAACAAACCATGACTTTAAGCAAAAATGCCTCGGAAAGATTTCTAATTTATATAGCTATAGGTCTCACCTTCTCCTTCTCCCGGTTAGCAGCTATGTTGTTCTCACATCTAAGTTTCCATTTCCTATAGTACTCTGCTTTGTATTCCTCTGCTTCTTTAATTATTTCCCTAACAATTTCTTTCTCCCTTTTCTCCTTCTCCTCCAGCCGTATGGCGTTCAATCTGGAAAATGGAACAAATATTACATCTCTCAGCTGAGAAGATAAAAAAATGTAACCTTGTAATTTCATCTCACAAGCAAACAACAAAGGAATAAGATAGTAGGCGAATTAGAATGTCACTACACAAAAGTAAATTGGAAATGGCGAGTTTTAATGCATTATAGGTATACGCTAACAATTACTTGATAACTACGGGGAAAAAAAAGACCATAGGCATAAGCTGAGATATCCTCAAATAGAGAATTATGTGTGAAGCTTCAGATTGCACAATAAACACAATCTTTTCATGCTGTTAACAAGAAAAGCATCACATTTACACACCAGTAAAGAAGCTTTGTACAATGCACAAACAAATATGTACACTGCATATTAACAATGAACTAGTCGGTATTCTACTTTGTATCAGCTTCAGAGATCTTTAAAGGTAAAAAGAATCACAAAATTTCCTTCAGGGATTAAAAGGTAAACTCAAGTCAACTGCCACCATGGACTGAAATGTTTAAGGAAGAGAGTGCTACCAGCAGATATATAGCAATTTTTTTAAAATGTAAATCTACGTTAAGTTAGAACCTACTGTCAAAGTTAAGTAGTGGGTACTCCACAGACACTAGCTTATTTGAGCCAGCTACCTATAAGCTATGAGATGGCAAGATTATTTCATAAACAACTCAATTATCAATAAGTAATCACAGGCCTCCTCAAAAGTTTTAACAGAATTTTCTTTGATGAATTTATCTTCGGACCACCGACCAACTTAAAGTTATGGATCCCCTATTGACTACCGCATTGCAAGACCGTGTCATCAGGAACTCATTTATCACTAATGTATCAAAGATCTCCCAAATGTATTTAGGAGAATTTTCTTCTTTAATGAATTTATCTTAGGAGTTGACTACATCAAAATTCAATTCACTTTCCCCAACTAATTGGTCGAGGTAAGGAAATTACATGTGTTGGGAGGTAAATCAGATTCTATTTTTTAACAAGTAAATAGATCAGAAAACTCTGATTCTATGTTAAATAAGTAATTAACAAAATGTAGAATAAAACATTATTTTTTGAAAAGAGAAACAAACAAAACTGAGAATTGAACTTCTCATAGGTTTTATAAACTACTATCAAGTTCATGGGTTTTATAAACTATTCCCTCCATTTACTTTTACTTGTTCACTGTTCCGAAAAATAGATTTTCAATTTTACTTGTCAATTTTAGCCTATCAAGAAAAGACAATTATTTTTTTCCATGTTAAACCTTAGCATTAAGTTCTTATTTCTCAAAACCTTATACTAAACATCAATTAATACGAGTATTATTGTAAAATTCTCATATCAATTATTGCTTCTTAATGGATTTGCAAGTCCAAAGTGGATAAGTAAAAGTAAACGGGAGGAATACTACAACTATCTTCGTCTCTGAGAGAAAACAAAAAAGATAAGGCAGCACTTATTCACTTGGCAACAAACATTGTAAGCACTTATCATAAGTTTAAATCAGAGAACGAACAAAGTAAATTGAATTTGTCGAAGCACTCAGATTCAAAATACCAGCAGCCATTGCACTAAGCTCCCGCTGTCCAAGCCCAGAAAGGGAAGGACATTAGGTTTACTGTACATAGCCTTACACGAATCTATTTCCATGGCTCCAAACCGTGACCTCATGATCATCAATCAAACAACTTTTACTGTTGCGTCAAGGCCCCTCTCATTGATCAAATATTTTGATAGACAAACAATTAACTAAACTAAAAAAAAAAAAAAAACTAGAGTTGACTAAAATAGCTATTTGCAAAAATCAGTCGCTACCGATTATTATTACCTTAAACAAGCATGATTATCGCAAAAATCCATTACGGACTTTATCAATTTTAGTCAATGAAATCATGTTATACGAATTTAATACATATATGTCTTTGCATGCAGAGAATTTAAAACCGAGAAATGAAAAAACAAAAGTAAAGCTCACCGGCGCCACTCTCTCAGGGCAAAACCTTCCTCCGCTACCATACGTTCCGGCGGAGGGAGAATCGGTCCATTTTCTCCGGTGAACTGAGCTTCAGACATCACCGACTCCAAACCAAAAACGTAGTCTCCGGAGTCTTCAGTAGATACCTCGAAGTCTCCGCCACGGTCCAACGGCGGAGTCATGGGAGGGCCGGTGCCGGAGACGTGTGATGACATGGCGGATTCTTCTTATTTTTGTCCTTTCCCGCAATTTCAGTTGTGTGTGTGTTTGTTCGTATTCTCCTAGCGAGTCAGCAGAAAAGAAATCAAGTGCAGTAAAAGCATTGGAGGCAGTAATCACATACATCGCATTTTCCTTCAGTTGACACGTGTCAACTTACTATAGGGTATTGGCTTTTGGAATAATATACCAATTTACCAGGTAAGTAATAGATTTATTTCCCTTTCTAATTTTTCGAAACAATTACTTGTACTTTATAGTAACAATTTTGTGATTTATGTACTTTTATTTATTAAAAGTTTTGTTATTCGATTTTCGAAATTTATGTTACTTTTATTTATTAAAAATTTTGTAATTTTTTAATTCGGTAAACTTGAAAAGTTTGACTATGCTACTTTATGTTCTGACATTTTAAATGAAAAAAGTTATATCAATAAAACTGAAAGAAAAATATATAAAATAGTGTTTAGTAAAATTAGTTTAATGAGAAAATTTTATCAAAAATTAAAATATTATGTTTGAATTCTTGAAAGTATTTTATATGTAATGAATTAAACTTTACTGAACCGAGAACTTAAGAAAATAATAGAAAACAATTCTTCTTTCGCTAAGCAATTAGAGTCAATGTGAAGGATGTGACTCGTGAGTGGTGGAATTAAAAATTTTACTAAGAAATATCAAAATATATATATATACTAGATAATGTTGCCCGTGCTATGCAGGGCCCAATAATATAAATGGTATGTTTTTGGGGGCTAATAATCCGAGTTTTTGAAGCGATTGTTTGTGTGGATAAAAGGAATAAGTTTTTTTTATCACAAACTTGTACTTTCTTTGACGCTATTTAAGGCATAATAAGACTACCCACATACAACATTTTTGAAATATTTTATGTTGTCAATTATCATGATTTATAGTATTTTTACGATAGATTCACTTCAAGAATCAGTGGAATTTTTTGTATTTTTTTCAAAACATATTTTATGTTGTCAATTATCATGATTTATAGTATTTTTACGATAGATTCACTTCAAGAATCAGTGGAATTTTTTGTATTTTTTTCAAAACATATTTTATGTTGTCAATTATCATGATTTATAGTATTTTTACGTAATTTTTAAATATATATATAAAAAAAAATAAGACAAATAAATTAAAATGAATGCCCAAGTATAATATATAATATTCAAGATTGGGACTTTTAAAAGGGAGTTTATGCCCAAGAATAATATATACTATTCAAGATTGGGAAAAGTCCCAATCTTGAAAATTATATATTATACTTGGGCATAAACTCCCTTTTATTATATAGTAGAAAGTGTGTGTAGTGCCTTTTTCCTAATAAGGCAGAAGTACTCATTACCCCCTTGAACTTGAAGCTTTTTATACAGTGTACACCTAAACTAAATTTTGTTTTAATTACCCCCCCGAACTTGTTTATTCCTCCGTCGCATACACCTTTTTTCGTCCACCTACTGCTGTTGGGACTACACGCGCGCGACAGCTGTCTAAATTGGTGATGTGGATTTCCATCTGGATAAATAATAATCACCTGGATAAATTAATATTGCAAAAAATAAATTTCTTAAATTTAAAATTCATTGTTTAAAAGTTATTTTTGAATAAGGGCTGATTTCGCGGAACTCCTTTTGGATTTGGGTTTTTCTAGACGTGAAGTTGGTCGATTAAATTTCAAATTTGTCTGAAAATTCTTACCAAGTAAGTGTTAATCTTTTGTTTCCTTTACTTTTCATTTACATTTTACCCTATTTTTCGTTTAAAATATGCCAAATATTAAAGAAAAATGAAGATTTTACGTTTTTTTTATTCGCTGTAGCGTTATGATGTGGCAAAAAATCACTTCCTCACGCGCCTAGTAGAGATTGTTGTCAATTTCTACGCCAGGTGGACGAAAAAGGTGTACGCGACGGAGGAATAAACAAGTTCGGGGGGGTAATTAAAACAAAATTTAGTTTAGGTGTACACTGTATAAAAAGCTTCAAGTTCAGGGGGGGTAATGAGTACTTCTGCCAATAAACTTTTCACTTCTCTTTGCAAGTATCTAAAATTACTTCTATGTACGTCTTTCGCTTCACTTTCCCTAAAAATATTTTTTAATTTAAAACTCAAACAATCTCAAATTTAAATTAACACTGATAATTTAGAAAAATGTGATTAACTTTCGAAATTTCACATGTACTACATAAATTGAGTTAAAAAGTAATATATATTATTTTAAAAAGAGAAAAGACATAAAGTGACACTTGAAATTGTCTCGAATTTTTAAAAAGACACCTTAACTATGTGAATGTCCTATTACCCATAATGTTGCCCGTGCTACGCACGGGCCCAATAATATAAATGGTATGTTTTGGGGATAATAATCGAGTTTTTGAAGCGATTGTTTGCGTGGATAAAAGAATAAGTTTTTTTATCACAAATCTGTATTTTCTTTGACGCTATTTAAGGCATAATAAGACTACCCACATGCAACATTTTTGAAATATTTTATGTTGTCAATTATCATGATTTATTGTATTTTTACGATAGATTCACTTCAAGAATCAGTGAAATTTTTTGTATTTTTTTCAAAAACATATTTTATATTGTCAATTATCATGATTTATAGTATTTTTACGCAATTTTTAAATATAAAAAAAATAAGACAAATAAATTAAAATGGACCCAATATATGTTATTTTTGTTGTCTCAATTTATGTGACACAAATGAAATTTGGAGAGTCATCCAAATTTTCATATTTTTTTAAAAAATGTTTTAAGTTATTAATTATTGTGATTTATAATATTTTTATGTAACTTCAAATAACGTACTTTTAAAATGTCTTTCAGATATTTTAAGTTGTTAATTATTATTATTTATAATACTTTTTTGGTAATTTTAAAATGTATATGTGTTATTTTTTTTGTCCCAATATATGTGAGCCTGATAGAATTATGAGAGTGAACGTATTTGATTATATAGCTTTTAAATTGGTAATTATTGTAATTTTTAATGTTTTTAAAGTCATTTGTAAATGATATATGTTGCTTCCTTGATTGTGACTTTTCCATTTGTCACATATATATATATATAGATTTGGTGCCCGTGTGATTTAATTTATGTGATATAAATGGAATTTGAAGATCAGTCGATTTTTTATATGTTTTCTTAAAAATATATTTGAAGTTATTAAATTGTTGTGATTTATAGTATTTTTGCGTTAGTTTTGAATAATATAGGTTACTCATGTTTCAATTCACGTGAATAATCATAAATATTTTCAGTTGTTAATTTATTGTGAATTCTAGAAATTTTGACGTTATTTTCAAATAGTACATGTTACTTATTCTATTCCAATTAGTCAACCAAATTTCTTATATGATTTAAAAATATTTTTAATTGCTAATTATTGTGATTTATAGCATCTTTTATGTAACTTTTAATAATATATAATTTGTTCAAATTCATATGACAATGATAAGATTTCAAGAGTCAACGCAATAAAAATTTTAATTTTGTTTGACTCTAAAAAGGAAATCATAACAATTAAAAGTGCATAGAGAGAGTAATAAATAAGTAATTAAATTTCAAGAAGTTTAAAATAAAAGGTTGAAAAAAAGAATTAGATAGACAACATTTATTGAAAATTGAAAACATATAAATAATAAATGGGCCCAAATGAGGTCAAACTTTTCGGCTAATAAAGTAGTAAGTAATTAATGGTGTTAAATTGTCCAATAATATAAATTTTGAAGGTACAACCATAAAGAAAGAATGTACAACACTAACTAAGCACATATCATCCAATACTTGTCATGTGCTAAGTAGTAGATATTCCCACTTATTATGTATAGTAATATATATATAAATCGTAATAGAATTTTTTGACGAAATGTCAGTTGAAACTCTTGGATACACGTGGCTCCGCCACTTGTCTGAGGTAATCAATTTTCATTTTTAAATTAAGCAGGTTGGCTGCAATTAGCAGATATTCTAAAGCTCATATTAGCTTATTAGCTGCGTAATTGACTTTTGCTTAGTCGGCTGCTAAATGCATTTTGTATGTGTATCAACGTCAATTAATAAAATTATTAAAACAGCGCAATTGACATTAAAACAATGTTATATATAATATAAAGTTTCAAATAGGTTATTGTCTATTTTGTCTCCTCTGATTTTTTTGATAAATGATTTGTTAGTTTATGTTCTTTTTCATTGCCTTGGTTGCTTTATCATGTCCAAAAACAAATACTAATTTATTTAAAATTAAATGTTAATTGATTTTAAAATGGAAAAACTACATAAATAGACATACTTTACTGCCATATATATTATTACTATTAATACTTTCAAAACATTATGTATCTTACCACTAACTAAGAGTTTCCTACCATATATTGAGAAAGATACACTTAGATACATGTATTTTTGCTATCGGATACACTAAATAGGGAGAGAGGCGAGCGAGATTCGTTGTATATCTCAATCACATGTGAATCACACTATATACTTGTATCTGGTGTGATTTGCATGTTTTTGGGCTATCAAATACATAGGAGAGTGGCTAGCGAAATAAGAGAGAGGCAAGCGAGATTTGTTTTGTATCCAGATACATGTGAATCCACATGGATACAATGTATCTAACACAAATTTCACCTAATTTTGACCTTGTATCCTGAGATACACGTATCTAGACATATCTGAACGCATCCAGACGCATCAAAATCTGGTAAAATACGTAATACTGTAAATTATTGTGTATCTAAGTAATTAGATCCTAAATTAATGGGATTTATGTAAGTCTCCCTTTTAAAATCTTATATATTAGTACAATCAATATGGTAGAATAGTAGAGCAAGTATTAGTAACATAACAAAAAAGTCTTCATGGTCATTAATATATTTGCTCACAACAATTGTGACCTCTTGGGAGAAACGATGACTGCATCTTTGTTTGGCAGATCTAAAATCAAAACTTTACATGATTTCAAAATCTTTAATGTTTAGTGTTTGATATTACTAGTTGTTTCTTACTCTTTCGATTTTTGTGTTATTTTGTTGTGCTTACATTTTTAGGAAG